GGCACGGGGCAAAGCCCGGGGTGCGGGGGGCAGCCAAGGCTTGGGCCAAGCCAGCAACCCTCCGGGGAGATGCACCAGCATCACCTCCTGCCCTTGCAGCACCCAGAGCAAAAGCATTGCCACACTGACCCGGGAGAGAGATGGAGGCAGCCGCAGCCATGCCCAGCCCTGATGCCCCTGCCTGCAGGACTTACACATCGCTTTTGGTGGTGTACACGCTGTAGTTCAGGGACTCGATGGCCATCCAGCGAACCGGCAAGCGGCCCTGGGGAAACAGAGAGCAACTGTCAGGGGAGGGGGAATGCCTTGCAGACGGAGGGCAGCCGTGACCCAGCCGGTCCCGGCATGGTGAGTCATTCCCGTTGATGGTGGGGGTCCTGCCCACCACATTGGTGCAGGCCCCATGGAGATGCTTTGCTCCTGCCTCACCATTGTCTTCTTCACGTAGACCTCCTCCCCTCTGGAGAGGCCAAAGTCAGCAATCTTGGAGGCCAGGTTTTCTCCCACCAGGATATTCCTGGCTGCCAGGTCCCTGTGAATGAACTGAAAGGGGCCAGCAGTCAGCAAGAGCCACATGCTCCCTCCCACTGGTGCCGGGGGTCTTGTGCCTTGCTCAAGAGTCCCCAGGTCCCTGGGGAAAGGATGCTCTGTGGGGCTTGCTGGGGATGTACCTGCTTCTCACTCAGGTACTGCATCCCCTTGGCCACGTCCGAAGCAAACTGGAGGAGCTGCTGGGAGGTGAGGGTGGAAGCAGTGCCGTGCTCCTTGGCAAAGGCCGGATCCGTCTCCAGGACTCGGCTTTTGCGGAGGAAGTCAAGGAGGTTTCCATAGGGAGCATACTCAATGGCGATGTACAGGTAGCCTGGGGGGGGCGGGAGGAGGTTGCGCTCGTGGGGCTCTCCCCGGCAAAGAGGAATACACAGCCAGGCAGGGGTCGTGGGGCTGGGGAGAGGGGAGAGGGGGACAGCCCTCACCCTTGTTCTCGCAGGCACCAAGCAAGTTGATGATGTTGGGGTGATGGCCCAGTTTGCACAGCACCTCCAGCTCCCCAGCAAAGTCCCGATGGTCGTTCTCTGAAGCAAACTCTGGAAGAAAATCAGGGATGGATGCGTCAGTCCTACAGCAAGGGCCCTTCCTCTGCTCCTCCAGTGATGGCTCCTGCCTCTCCTCAGCCCTGTGCATGGCCCAGGATGCAGCCGCAAACCCCAGCCCACCCTGCCCACCTCCCTGCACCGCTCACCTTTCAG